CAAAACAATGAAAGTTCTGTTGTTTCATCAGCCTCATGTTGTTCCAAGCCTGTAAGAGTTTCTTTCTTCTGTTGAACACAAAAGAAGGTATTTTGAGGAATGTCGGTAACAAAAAAGTAGACGGTAGCCATTAATTTTTATTTGTTTAGGGTTAGGGTTAGGTTTTTCGTAGTAGGGAAGGCAATGGCTAACGTCAACTGTTTGGCTACCAACGTTTTTCAAATTATATCGGTAACAAAAAAGTAGACGGTAGCCATTAATTTTTATTTGTTTAGGGTTAGGTTTTTCGTAGTAGGGAAGGCAATGGCTAACGTCAACTGTTTGGCTACCAACGTTTTTCAAATTATCTTCTATAAAATTTCTGTGGATATGGAATTTTAAATCTGTAATAAATTCACATAAACTAAGGTCCCAATATCGCATTTTATTAATTAACCATGAAACCATGTAATCCATTCATTTTCCAAACCACTTTTCCTCTGGGTTGCAAGGATGCTGGAACCTATCCCAGCGTCTTGGGTCGCAGCCAGGGGAAACTCTCTGGACAGATGGCCTTCTGGAGTAGGCCTATACAGAGACCTAATACACGTGAGAGATTTTGTTAGATTTCTCAAATGATATAATTATGTGGGATAATGTCAACTTCCACAGAACCAACATTGTTGGGGAATGGTTCACTGAGCATGAAAGGATAACACTAGAGTTCCTTCCACCATACTCCATTTCCTGAATCAGATATTTCAGCATGGAGATGGAAAGTGTATGACTGTAAGGCACAAGACCAGATAACTATGTTGGATGCCATGAATGCTGGTTGTGAGGACAATCTCTGGAAAATCTCTGGTAAGACCAACAAGAATGACAGGATGCTCACCTAGAACTTCCAGTGTTATGTACATTGAGGAGGTACAATTTAATGTTTTTTTTTGTTTTGCTTTTTGTATAGAACTAGAGCAGATTGATTTTGTGGCAAACTCATTTCACACAAAACTGCATGTGACTAGCCTTTTTTTTTTTTGGACTTCCACAATTAGTTTCCTAATTTTTAAAACTTTGTATATAGCACATTCAGACTTGGATGAAGTACAAGCCTATATATCATGACTTAGACAGAGCAGCATGCGTGTCATGCTTTCAGATCCTCGACATCCCACAGCTGACTTAATCAAACACAGACCATCTAAAAGTCCTGCTTCCACCCCCTTATCTGATTGGCTAATGTGGAGTGCTGGAAAGAGTTATGCAGGGAACGCCTCTATTCCCATAAAAATGTAGGCAACTTTAAAAAAAAAAAAGCATCATTTTGGATCTTAGTCCACCGTCGAGAGGAAAATGGCATCCGCACATGACAGAGCAGTTTTACAGGCCTTCTTTAACCCTACCAGCCCTTTTGGAGATATCCCTGGATTAAATCAAGAAGATCAGCTGACAGATGATGGTAAAATGAAGATCCATAATTGGATTACATATGCAAAGTTTGTGAATCTATTGATTCACATAATGTTATATTGTGATAGATAGATAGATAGATAGATAGATAGATAGATACAGTGGGTCTATCTTTCAAATGCTATAAAGATGTGTCCTCATTGTGAACACGACTGTGTATTTCTTTCATATCTCTTTCTTTAGACAGTGTTTTTGACCCAGAGCTAGTGAAACGGGTGAAAGATCTGGAACTGCAGGAAGTTTCGGCTGCTGAGTCTGGAGACCTGCCCGCTGCTCTTCAGTATTTTAACTAGGCCATCAGGATCCGGCCTCAGAGGGCTTCAGCCTACAACAACCGAGCCCAGACCAAACACCTGAAGGGAGACACCAAAGGTGATACATTTCTTCTTTCTCTGCCAAAACCAGCTGAAAGGTTTCAAACTTTTATTTTTGCAGCTGTTTTTTTGTTTGTTTTTTTTTTTTTTTTCAGAGACCATAATGAAAGTACATTAAAATACCTCAAACTTTCACTGATGTTCACACAAATCGTGATTGGGGCAGATTATTGCTTAGTAAAAGCTTATTTTCTTACACAATACTAACTCAAAAATATTTTTTATGATTTGTAAACCAATACATTTTGACATTTGTATCATATAACCAGCTCCTAATGTATGGCTTTACACTTAATTAACCATGAAAAAAAAAAAAAAACATGGTCACTATAGGCTAGTTAAAACCGTGGTAACCACAAATTAACCATGGCTTTGCTTCACTAACCGTAGTTTAACCATGGTGTTTGTAGTAAAACTGTAGTTATGCAAATGGTATATATATATGGTTATGCAAATTATATATATATATATATATATTTTTTTTTTTTTTCATAAGGTTACAAATGTAGTATATTTGTTTGAGTCCTGTGAAACGTGAGTCATGATAAATGGTTTTAAAGACTTGTATAAGCCATCTTAAATAGCATGGTTGCTTCAGCAAATGCATTTTATATGACATTTAGCTTTGTTTTGTTAAAACTATCCATTTAGGGTAGGGTTTAGTGTAAGTTATACAATATTTTCAAACATGATACAGCATTAACCTTTTAGGTATCTATCTATCTATCTATCTAACTGTCTGTCTGTCTGTCTGTCGTCTGTCTGTCTGTCTGTCTATCTATCTATCTATCTATCTAGCTAGCTAGCTAGCTAGCTACCTACCTACCTACCTACCTACCTACACACAGTGATCATGCATTTCTGTTTACATTGCATCTATATTGTACAAAACACTTTATAAATAAAGCTGACTTTCTGACTTGGCTTATATGCATATTCAGTGTGTATACACACATGTTGGTTTATGAGGACTCTCCATAGGCGTAATGGTTTTTATACTGTTCAAACCGTATTTTCTATTGCCCTACACCTACCCTACCCCTAAACCTACCCCTCACATGAAACTTTGTGCAGTTTTAGATTTTCAAAAAACTTCATTCTGAATGATTTATAAGCCTTTTAAATTACGGGGACACTCAAAATGTCCTCATAAATCACCTTCTCGTTGCAATACCTATGTCATACCCATGTCATTATACAAATTTGTGTCCTCATAAACCACATAAACATGCACACACACACACACACATACACACTGAATATGCATCTGTGTTGGATCTATCTATCTATCTATCTATCTATCTATCTGTAAGGTCCACGAATTGGTCCAACGGAGGTATCCAATTGTGGATGAAGCTTTCCTGCGTGTTCGGTCTTTTCAGCGCACAAATGTATTAAATTTAGGTTAAACTCAAATCTGATTCCATTTTATTATTTAATCTGACTCCATTTTATTATGACCTCGAATTTAGGTTGAAATGCAAATTGGTTGTATGTCTGTTTCTAATTAGTATTCTTCTGACATTTGATTTTTCTAGTTAACTCTTTATTTTATATTTACTCGTTCATTTGGGTGCTCATGTCGCTAACAAGGATACAACGTCATCTACTAGAGTCAATAATTACAGAGTAAAACAGAACACAATCAAATGTACCAATTTATTATCAGTCAGGTAAATATGTATTATGCCAATTACATATCCAATTCAAAAATATCAAATCATATCAATACAAAACATCACATTCTCAAAGATTAATCTAAAAGTAAAATATGCATACCTGACCTTAGAAAATACATAGTATGAAGTGTAGAGACACACACCACACATCAGGCTTTCTGGCTACAGAATCACGCTGATCTTCTTGCAGTTTTCACTTAAATACCTTAAGACCAAGACAATCATCCCCCGAAATGGAGACAGAAACTAACAATTGAAATTTGCTTTGATCAAGTAGAGTTAATGTGCTGTGTGTGTATTGTCCGTCTCAGATCAAAGTGTCTGAGCTTCTGTAATTCTTACAGTTTCTATCTATCTATCTATCTATCTATCTATCTATCTATCTATTTTTGTCCCAATGAGCCTGTGTTATTTCAAAAATAACATAAATATATATATATTGCAGGTGCAGTGGAAGATCTGGAGCGTGCCATTTCTCTCAGCGGCGGCATTGGGCGATCAGCCTGTCAGGCTCTGGTCCAGCGTGGGCTTCTTCTTAGGTTGTCGGGGCGTGATGAGGAGGCTCGGGTGGACTTTGAGAAGGCAGCAGCTCTAGGCAGTGAGTTTGCTCGGCAGCAGGCTGTGATCTTGAACCCCTACACTGCCCTATGCAACCGCATGCTGTCAGAGGTCATCAATAAACTACGCAACCCAGAAATGTCAGACATGCCATAGAGATGGAAAACATGGAAAGTATATACATTGTATTGTAACAAAGGCATACATTTATTAGCTTTGTACTTCCCTGGTTTTCATAAGTGAATAAAGTCAAAACTTTTTCATGTGATTGTCACTTTGGGGGATATGTGGAGAATGCTTTTTGATGGAACTCTATGACTCTATGATGGAAATAAACTTATAATAAAAAGTGAAAACATAAAATTGAGAAATATTTAAGATGTAGGTCACTGATTAGGTAAATGTGTGACATTGATCATGTGATCATTTGTACAGATTCTAAAATGAACAACTGAAGATTTTATACACTTGAGTGTTGCTGTCAATAATCCAAGGACAAAAAAGACATTGTTTTGTTTTATAAACATTCAAATCAAATTGTTATGCTGACAGTAACATTTGTCATGAACCAGGTATTAAATGCAAAATAGAAGCATTTTGATTCACAACTGATTCACAACTAGTCTTTGGCATCTTATTAAATACAAATATATAATATTAAAGTGATAGTTCACCCAAAAATTTAAATTATGTCATAATTTACCCTCAGGTTGCTGTAAGCCACTGACTTCTACAGTATAGAAGAAAAAAAAAAACACTACTGTAGAAGTCAATGACTACCGGCAACTGTTTGGTTACTAACATTCTTCAAAATATTTTCTTCCGTGTTCAGCAGATTAAATAAATATATACAGGTTTGGAACAACATGAGCATGAATAAATGACGACAATTTTCATTTTTGGATGAACGACCCCTTTAAGTTGATTTTTGAAGCATGCGTATATAACAGTGTATTTTTCAGCCACTAGAGGTCAGCAAAGGTCTGTCAAAAGTTAGGACAGTTTTCCCAAAAAAGAAAATCCATTCAAAGCTGACACTGACTAAAGCATAAATTAATCTAGAAGATATCTGATGGTTATTGCTTGCAGCATGCTTTTATTTGATATGTCCACAGCTTGTGCTACAAGCTTGTCTCTTATTCTCCATGTGTCTTGTCAGTAGTGAAGACACTATTGACTAGAGTCTGGAACTCTCCTCTTCTCTCCTGGAGATCTGTCATGCTGGGTAACGCCACAGGTTCACTTCTGATCTCTTTCTGGTAGAAAGGACAGACCTTCAGGTGCTCTGCCATGGGGGGCATGTCTTCAAAGACCCATTTATCCACTGGAGAGAACAGACTGCTAAACTCCCATGCCTACATGGAAATGAGAAAGGTCCAATACATCACTTGTGTCATTGCAAAAATAAATAAATAAAACAAACAAAAAAAAAAAATCACCACAAGTGGTATATACATTTCAGGCAATATATACCATTTTACAAAAAAAAAAAAAAAGGAGGTTGCTTTAAATAATATTATTTTGTACTGAAATTATAAGGTTTAAATATCAGTTTAAAGTCAGTCCAATGCATTTTTAGATTGAATATCACTATGGTTATCGCTATTCCAGACCACTATTCTTACTGGCTTTCCTCAATGTAGGTTACACCCCCTACTGGTTAAATGCTAAGATCTACTTCCCAAACAATGGCCAAAGAAAGAAAGAGACCACCTCTCATCCAACAGCAAATTTTCAACAGTGTGTAGCTGACTGACATGGAGCCAGGGAGGGTAAAGTGACCCATGTATGTCATCTGATGCTCTCTGACCCACATACCTCAGAGAACAGTTAACAGAGCACCAACGTACTTAGGATGTTTATCGTGCCCTCCGACACAGCTAATGCTCCTGAAATAAAATTAGATGGGCTGGAAAGCATTGAAGATTTTTTCGGATGCAACTGTGACTGTGCACATGATTTTTAGACTCATGGGAGTCTTATTATTAATAATTAAATTAATAATACAATATTAAACAATATTGATAATAATATGGCTGTTCCTCAAGCTCTAATAAGGCTTTCACAAGAAAGCCTTGTGAAAGTTGGAATGCAGTACATGAATCGTGGACTTATTTTATGGTGCCTTCCCAGCTAACAATAATGCACCAGAAATGTTTTTTTGAATATGAAAGTAAAACCTGAAAATACTTCAGAAACGTCCTGTCAGTGCTCTGGGAACATAATTTAAACATAATGGACCTCATTCATGAAACACGAGCGGAACGGTTTTTTGTGTAAATCATTTGGGAAGTCGTTCTGACATAAATTTTCGGATTCATGAAAATGTTCGTATTTTGAAAATGGTAGTTGGTACGAAAGAAATTTACACCTGGGGCCCGTTCTTCGTACGTCGCTAACTCAGTTAGCTGGATTTGATCGTTGACGATTTGGCATGATCTTGGATTGTTTGGTTCTTATATTTAACGAGTTAATTTGCCCTGTCTTTTTTTCGTTTTGATCTCTTTAACTTTGGGTAAAAACAGAGCTCGTCACTGTCCCTTTTTACACAGCCGTCCAATCACAGTGAAGGAGGGGCGGGACAAACATTACATTGACCAACCATGATCGTACTTGTACAACACAACAAAAAGTTAATATTGCTGGTTACTGAATTTTTATATTCAGTAATATTCTTCAAAATAAGATGCTCGTAACATGTTACTGTCGTGAATATTCCAAATCATAGCAAACAATGCATCACTCCAGAAAAATGCAGTGCCTCCAAAGCTCTCTCAAGCACCACCAGCTGGTCGTTTTCAGAAGACCACCAGGCATTATGTCAGCTGGCTAAAAACGCTCTGGTGAACACACGTTAATTTATTCAAAAACAGCTTAAAGATTCTTGAAAAATGCATTCTTTTGTGTTCCACAGGAAAAATAACAGTATATAGGTTCATGTAAGAAAAGCATTTACCTTTTTTCGGGCCCTCCAGGTAAATCCACCATGAGAATATGTATTTTTCTCCCATTTGAGGGACACCATGCCCTTCTGCTGAAGAACAGTGCTGCACACTTCCCTCATTAGCTGGGAAACCTGAGATAGACGACCCAAAGACACACTATCCAGAAAACTCACTATGTGTTGTAAGATCTCAAAAGGAAATCTGCTCAGAGAATCTAGATTCCTTGCTCGTTTACGTTCACTGCTAACGGTTTTTACTCCTTTGTAGAGTGACGCTGCCACATTTGGTTGTAAGATGAAAGTGCTAAGATCTGTATCATAGCTTATGGTAGCCCGATATTTAGATGGTCGAAATTGCTTCTGGCTAAAGGTGCAACCAAGGTAAGCCAGCGGGCACCGCTGTAAAAACCAGCCAGTAAGACATGACTGGATGTCTCCATGCGCGTTCCTAAAGTGCCAGGGGTATTCATCACGCCTGAAGGCATGACAGCACAGGTAAGTAAAGGCTGAGCAGGATTTATTGTGTCTCCTAGTCACACATTCGGTCTGAATCTGCAAATGTAGGTTTTGAGGCTGGTCCGCGACAACATCGGCCAAAGATGCATCACTTTTGAATGGAGCAGAATGGAAGTCACAGGTCTGGGTGCCAAAGTCAACATACAACCCATCGGTTCCAATAGTCTCACAAATCTGATGACCTTTCAGTTCTCTTTCTAGACAGCACAGCAGTGTGGTCTCTACCTCATTCGCCTTTGGGAGCTCTTCAATGGCAATGCCTAAATCAGATGTGTCCACATTTTGGTCTGTCTTCTTAACCATTTGTGATGGATCCTTGAGGTGGCTACGCTTGGCTCTGAAGCTGATCGGCACATTGAAAGAGTGTATGGTTTGAACTTCAATAGGCTCTAAATTTCCATAAACAAAATCTTTATCTTTAGGTGTGCAAGCAGCTAGCTGGCCAAAGTTGATAAGCATACATCCATTGTGCACCAGATACATATTATACTCTGCCACGTTAACCTCTTTACGTAGTCTATCAAGAACACCATCTTGCCAAGGGGCTAAACCTGTCCTGGCAATCTCATTTGAATTCTGAGGAGTCACTCTTGGGTCTTCCTTGTCCTTAGTCTGACAACTTTTATCTTCTAAATTCTTCACAGTTTGTTTGCATCCTTCCTTCTCCTTCGCAAACATTCTCTCCCACATCCCGTAGTTCTCCAAGCAGGCCACATCTTTACTCTTAGCCAGGGCCAATCTTTCTTCTTGGGTTAGTTCTTGTACCTCTTCCCCATTAAGACTAATCTCCAGCATCTCTTCCGGGTTTAAGTTCTGAGACTCGCAGCGCTCTGGATCAACACCTCCTACAGCACCATCCAGTGGAACTTCAGGTTCTTCCATCTTCTCTATCAACTCAGGGAAGAGTGTCTTCATCTGAATTGAGCTAAACAGAAGCTTCTGATCCCTAAGGGCCATAGCAAGGTCCAACTGACTCATGCAGTTCGGATCCTGGAGGGCGTTCTTGTAGAAGGTGGTATCAGTCTCGTTCACAGGCCATCGGTTCCATTCCAGTGTACATGTGATGACACTGGCAGGACACACTTCTAGGTGCTGGGCAAGTCTTTGACGAGTCATGGTCATGGGACAGCCATAACCAGAGTTAAGGCAGGGTACAATTTCCTTAGGGCAGAGAAGACGATGCTCATCCTCTTTACAAAGGTGGAAAGCGGCTCCACATTTCAGGTGGCAGGAAATGAAAATGCATGATGTGGGGATGTCTACGGGAACCTTGCAGTGCTGGTTATGACATTTTCCACAGTGTGGATGAAGACCAGAGCTGGTAGTCCTATTCTTGCCCTGGAGGTGACAATCCAATACATGTATTTGTTGCCCACAAGATAACCATTATTGTATTTACATTGTTTGATACATAACACTTGCTTGTTTGAAAGCAAGAAATACATGACAACTTTGAAACTCGAAGCTTACCATGGCTGTTGATATTTCTTGAGTTTGAAAAATAGACTCTGTAATGAGACAAGGAAATAGACGCTGAAAGGAAACAAGTCTCGGAAATGTTCCAGTGTTGCTATTGTCTAGACGATTATTGACTTGTCTTTCTGGAATAGGCACAACATAAAACCACATAAACGAGACAATTCTCTGACGACACTGAATAAATATTTACATATCAGACAATAAAACAAACATCGTTTTGCTTAGATGAGCTTTTTGACCATAAAAATAGCAGAACTTCTAAGAAAACAGTTTATAATAAACATGCACCTTCAAACACAGACAATCTTTGAATTTCAAACAGTAAAGAGGTTTACCCATTATTATAACAAAACACGTGCACAATTAGTATTCTTAACTGAGAGAGACCATTTCTAGACGTCTTTGTTATTGTTAAAGGTCTTGAGCATAAACAAAGGTCAGTCTCACTTACCCTTGCCTGCCCTGGTGATGTTAGCATGACTTGTGTTTGTTTAAATGGGTCTGTGTGGATGTAAATATCTCTCCTCTGTTCAGCTGATATAAATAGACAAACAGGCAAGTAAGACGAAGCCTATGAGAAACAAGGTTACATTACATCACACACAATTGCTATTATTTGTATATTGTGCTAACTGATTGTCAAGAATGATCAATATAATTGAAAAGCCACTTAAAAATGAGGATAATAGCTGTTTATTTAACAAGGAGTTTTGGACTGGTGAGTAAATATGAGTGAATTTATAACAGGAGGCTAATTTATTGATCCATAAATAAATGTATTCAAAGAACAAGACAATCAATGCCTTTGCAGTTATTTTACACATTCTTCAATGAATATGTTGCTGAATTAAAATCACACAATACAAATTGTATTACACATACTATCCACTAGATGTCAGTACAGCCCTTGTATGTAGATGGTGGAGCATTACAGGTTTGCATTATTAGCCTAGATATATTGCTTGTGTTAAGGATTAGTGTTTAAGGAACATAAATCGAACAATATTTGTTTTATTATTTTGTTTATTTAACCACCTTGGTTTATGCTAATTTTTACAGGATTTCTGACTTCAGAAATTGGCTTTGTTGACTCTTGTCATTCCAAAGTCTTTTAAAAATTACGTCCAAAAACTACTTGTCTTCAAAACAACAATGACCTTATTAGCATCCTTGGAGTATAAAAACAAATTAATCAGATGTCGGCTCTGAAGTGAAGTCAGTCAATAAAATGAAAACTGCTGATGCCTTATCAATTAAATTTTCGGTCAATGAGCTTCTCACTTTTATTCAACCTGAAGAAGAAAAAGACCCCATGCACGCAGGTGTTTATGATCTTATAAATTTAGCCCATCAACAACAAATCTGCAGCCAGTCTCATGTTATTAATGTCAAAAAGTAATTAAAGCCACCTTGTAATGATTTCTTTACTGCTAATACTACTTAATTAGGAAAGGGATTTTATAGGTTCCCCTGGGACCTGAAACTTTGTCTAATTTTGCTACATTAATGAAGAAAGTTTTAAGCAGGACAAAATTAGGGAAATTGAAAACGAGGCATTATAGTGAAGCTGTTTTTACAACCAGACAGACTAATAACACATTAGAGCACCGACAGCTACAAGAAGAAGAGGTGACCGCAGGTCAGCGCATCAAATGGAAAAACATCAACTCATTAAGGTCAGGCTACACTGAATGTCAAAGCTCTCTGTCATTGCTCAGTGAAAGATGAGTCTGACAGAAATTGCACATTTGAAATAACTTTAATGCTTTGACAATGATGCACTCAGGAGGTCAAGGTTTGGCTGGTTTGTTTTGTCAGAAAGACTCTGCTGGTAAATGTCGCATCCTCCTGAAAATAAGCTCTGTCGGGAATAAAAATTAATGGGAAACAACATACGTATTGCAAGAAATTCATTATAATACAGTAATTATTTCAAAGCATTCAGGGAACATCCAGGTCTTGTACTTTCAGGATTGATTAACTAGCAACTGCCATTTGAGATTAATGGCAATATTCCCACTTTCTTCAGGTTTATTAGAACTCCATGGGTGCACCCATATGGTATACTTTCTGACCTTTAAAATCATAATTTTAGTGGTGGATAATCAGGCTTATGTGGAAAACTACATTTTTAAGGCAGGTCTTTCGTAACTTCAAAATTAGCATATACAATTTTACAATTTAATCCTACTGTACGCATGGCTTCTTTGCTTTCAGTCTGCCAATGAGATGAACTTTTATATCACCGATTGACAAAGGCAACCAAATGTCACCTAGCTACAAACTGATGAAGATAATTCAGCATTGGCGCTGCTGTTAGAACAGTATGTGTGTGTGCGTGTGTGTGTATGTGTTTTGGAGTGTGTGTACACTTGTTCTTGTGTGAATGCGTTTGCTGATATGGAGCTACGAGATAAGAGGGCTGTTCCTGATAAGAGAACTGAACAGACTTCTGGGAGATGGCACATGTGGTTCACTTTGGCCGACTGATGGAAACATGGTCTATTTAACACACCCCATTTATCCATGCTCCATATTTCACCTTCGGCTTTATGCCAGTCGCAGCAGTGCACCTTGGTAATCTTTTCTTGTTTGGAATGAATTATAGTGTTTGTGTGTTTTGAAAGGTGTGGAGGAAAGGCTTCATCTGTTTACTCTCTTTGCATCCTACCTTGGTTTGCAGACCCGAACACATTAAATTTGAAAAGAATGACATCACTTCATGAAGAGACACCAAACTGCAAAGAACTTGGAGCCAAGTTCACCTATGCATCCATAGTCAGCTTTCCACATGCCGTGTAGCATTTTTTATACAATAATAGCAGACATACGGATGTCCTAGTCATTTACAAATTTCAAACCTGTTTGATTTTCAATATTCTGTCAAAAACCAAAGATAGATATTTTTGTAGGATGTTCACATTGCTCTTCTCAACACAGCATAGGCATACTGTTGCCAGAAAGTACTGTATAAGCATGTAATGTAATGAATGAACTTTCCCTTTAACAGGCTAAAAATATCCACCATACCTAACACTTAAATCTAATCTGCATTTTTCCGCAGTGAGGAAGTGACTGTATTGCCTCTGATGACAAACTGTGAGCACTAACCATGTGTCTTATTAAAGCATTTCCTATACTCAAGATTCAAAAAGTGCCTTGACGTTTCTTGCATTAGATGTCAAAGCCTGAATAATTGATATTAGCCTGAAGTCTCTTGTGATACACAATTATAGACTTTAAATTTTCTCCCCAATAAAACTAATGTACGGAGAGGAATGGCCCTGTGTGCCAATTGGGAGAAAAAAAAAAAAACATGCCTTTGGCGACATGGGTGCAAATTATGTAACATTACTTGCATGTTTCACAGCGATTTCGAAGCGGAATGTCCAGTGAGTGGCACTAAAAGTATATGTTCAGTTTGATCCAAAACAGATGTTAATCTAACAGCGTGAATCTGTCTACTAACACAACATAACTACGACAAACACAGTATTGTGCAAGGAACTGCAAGAAAATAAGTCTTCATTATTCTTGTAGTCATAATTTGTGTGGAGAGGAATAAAAGTTGTTTGTGTTTTACTGTCACAAGTGTTAATTTCAGCTGGAAACTGCAGTGAATTGTAGGTAGGCCTACAAATATGTTTTTGAAGATTTGTAAAAATGTAGGTAGGTGCATGTATATGAGCCTGTGTTGCAAACATACTGAATAATGTGTTCTCACTTTCTGTGGCAATTTATACTCATATACCCTTAATTCACAGACACCCCATATTACAGTTACAGTGTTATGATATCAAACCTAATTATGTTTGAAAGAAGCAAATATGTGGGCGACTGTATCTGTATATTATGTCTCCAGATAAAGAAAGCTACTCCTACAGACCCAGCTTTGCTTCGCCTCCTTTTTGATATCTTAGTGTTCTACAAAATTCCACAGAAACATGCAGTACCATTGCAGGATAGATAACCCGAGATAACTCATCTGCTTTAGAAAGCAACACTCCACCTGTTATTGATAAATCACGCTATAACCAAGAATTTAATTTGCGTGGGATAGAGAATATAAGAGGTTCAAAATTACATTTTGATCTCTTTTTCTGATCTTAACATATACTGTAATTACTGTATATCTAGATATTTGACTTCAGATTTGACTGGGATGTCACAAACTTTAACATCAGTAGAAATTTTTTATAGATAAAAGTTCACATTTACGGATAATTAAGACATAAACTAGAAGCAAAGGAAAAAAAAACTAAATTTTGTCTAAAGCTAAAGGAACTTGATCTTTCTCTTGATCTAGAGTTGTGTCATCAGCCAGTTGGCTTATTAATATTGATTGATTTGCCACAGAGATACCTTTCAAATTACTGAATGGCTAAAAGTTGCATAGGAAGCAGAAAAAGATAAGGCGATATAGCGCAGCCTTGACGGATGCCTCTATATATGTTAAACCAATGAGTATAGTACCATGTTGTAATTTAATTGAAGCATTGGCATTATTGTGCAAAGTTTGAATTGCATTAATAAAATTAGGGCCAAAACTAGGGCTGCACGATAAATCGCATGCGATATTTAATGCGCATCTTGTCAGAAAGCCGGTTCTGCAATCAGCGGTAAATCTCCATCACGTGTGTGCTTTCACAGCAGCATTAACATATAAGCATATATAAAAAAAATAGCTTTACGTTTAACATCATTATGCAACCCTCTTGCATTAACTGAGCAAATAGAAAACTTTGGAAACATTGAACAATATGACACCAGAACTGTAACAACAAGTGAGTCAGCCCATGAGATCCTATAAATAAAAATCCCTTGTAAAAAAAACAAAAGTGGGGTCTTTCAAGAAAAACAAAAAAAACAAATTACAAATTATTATTATTAATAATAATAATAATATATAATACAAATAAAGTGAAAAAATAAGTAAACAAATCAAATATAATAATCAAAAATCACATACAATTTTGTTTTATATAAATCAATAATAAATTATAATAAAATATAAGTTAAAAAATATATTCAACCAATGTACCTCAAAGTACCTTATTCTAATGTCTGACTTTTAAGTTAGCATATAGGTAAAAAACATTACATGAAAAAACATTCATAATTGTACTGCAAAAGTATGTTAGACTATCCTTTAAATAGTTGATGGAGCTTTCAGAGTCTTTCTATAATTAAGTACTTTTTTGAGTATTGTTTGATTAAAGGAGAAAGGAACATGGCTTTCTAAACAAAATAAAACTGATGCTATATTCTACTTATCTACTAGTGGGCAGTTATAGCGAACCACAGTCTTGCAATGCAAGAGTTCAAGAATAGTATAGTTTTAACTTACATATTTCTAAAGACTTTTCATGTGTCAAATCCTTCCCACAAGATCGAAGAGCTGTCAGTTTTATGTATGCTGAGATTGTGTCTGGTTTGGAATCTGCAGGGTGTTTTGTCGGTGTATCATGTCTGGTATCTGCTTCTGCTTTC